TTCCCTTCTCCTTTCCTGAAATGTATAAATATCTGTCAGGTTCAGCCCAAAGAACTCCACGAGACAGTACAGATACAGTTCTGTTGCATTTATTAGCTTCCACCTCCAAGACAGAAATCTGTCCAGACTGAATCTAAACTCTCCAAGCCAGCAAACAAACACCGCGAATTCCTTAGGCTGGTGCCAGTCTCATGCTCTTCACCTTCCCCCGCTCTTTCTGGGGGCTAAGGAAATGCTTATCTCCCCGAGCGCGGCCTTCACCAAACCATTCCGTCACACAGCCCCAGGTGGAGCGCATTACAGAAATCCAAACGGGAGGTGATCAGGGCATGAGTGACAGTGATGAGGTCCCTCTGATCTAGGAATGGGCACGACTGGCACACAACGTGAAGCTGTGGAAAGGCCCTCCAAGCCATGACTGCCACCTGCTCCTCAAGCAGGAGTTGTGAGTCCAGGAGGACCCCCTCGTTGTGTTGATCTATTTGTTTCTTTGTCCCCTGAAGTTAGCCCAAACGGGGCATTATGCCGCAACAATTTTTGAATCAACGTCCCTCAAATCCGCTAATTTAAAGAATGTGTAAAAAATCTGGGACTCATGGCTCCTGTGAAATTGAAATTTCCACGATGTTCAGACCAGTTTTGTTTGCAAAGTTGTGGCCGTCGCAGCATCCTCGCGGCCACCTGATTGTGATTTCCGAGGCTCCCTGCCAGCTTCCCACAAGGAAGGTCAATGGGGAAGCTGGCAGGAAGTCAGAAGCCGTTCCTGCTCCCACTGCTTTTTTTGCCTGCCCGTGGTTACTCTGTTTCTCTGTTTAAGTAAATAAATCTTGACTTCTTACTGAAATTCGTTTGCTACTACAATTATTTTTCTAATCATGATCTTCTTAGATGATCATGGGACCGTCCAGCATTGGGGGAGAAAAAATATGGTCAGCCTAAAATTTAATGGTCGTTCTTTTTCCCTCCAAGGCTGACCAAACGGGTCACAGAGTTCTCTAGTAAATATTAAAATCATCAGTCGAAGCCTAGCCAAGGGGAGGCATCTCTTAACCGCATTTTTTCAACGCCAAGAGAGGCAACATAGTTAAAGAAGGGAATATGGGAAGAAAATATATTTATTCGTGTGCGGGAATTGTCGAAAAGGAGAAGATTCCGAGGGAAGAGGGACATGGAAAGAGAACGGAAGGGAGAAGGGGAGCTAATAGTTGGGAAAGCAAGCGGTGGAAATGTGAAAACAGCCCAGTGTGTAATTTTTACCCAACTCTTGCTAAATAAGCAACCAGTGACTATGACGGGAAAGTTTCTGATTACATCTCTGTGGGATCCTTCCAGGGTGAAGGCTCCGTTACCTGGAACGTTTTCGTGTTCGTGTTTTTTCAAGTGTCGGTCCAGATTCGTCTGCTGGCCAAAACATCGATTGCAGAGATGACATTTGAAGGGTTTCTCCTTGTTATGGATGTTTCGGACGTGACGCTGAAGGTTGGATGAAATGCTGAAGGACCGGTCGCAATATTTACACCTGGAGGCGAGGAAAATGGAAGAGGTGGGGTCAACAGCCCTTGGAGGTGGAAGGCCCAGCTGTCAAGTGAAGGTCTGTCAAATCTCCTCTCCTGCCACCCTGATTATTACATATAATCATATTTAAAAGAACCACAGGGGCTTAGGGGTAAAAAAACCCTTAATGGCTCCACGTCCTCCACGTTTGCTCAAGAGGGCAGCATTGTGACACATAAAGAGGGGATGAAAATGCAGGCAGAAGCCAAACTCGGTTCAGTCCAAGTCTTTGGCTCTTCAGAGCAAAGCAAGTGCAATGAAATCCACCCACATTTGGCAGTGCAGTTTGCCAAATTTGGTTTAGCCTTTGCCTGGGGCATCACCTGTGCTAAGAATAATTTTTCATGTTCCGTTTTGCCAGTTCTTGTAATCCTTTGGTTTTTTGACCTAGCTGACAGTGGTTCCCCTCCCTCCCTCCCTCCCTCC